CAGGGCTCAGTCCTTGAGCCCCTTCATTGGCCCCAAAAAAAAAAAAAAAAAAAAAAGATGAAGTTATTCACACGGAGGTATCACATATCCACAAGTTTCTTTTTGAACCACCATGTTTACTGGTAAAGATGATAATGATAACTATTTTTTATAGGCCAAGCACTACCCTAAACTCTTCTGGTATAATTATCAAATACTCAGTCCCTTTGTAGTATGCTCCCAAGGGTCTGTTTAGGTTTTTTTTTTTAAATCTTACCAGTATTTTGTCATATATAATTGCCACAATAAACGGGCTACTGACTGAAGTTAGGAAATGAATGAAACAGTTCTTGTACTGAAACATGATACAATGAAAGATTCAGGATTCTTTCTAAAAGACAATGCAGGTAAAAAGCCTACCTACCATTGAAGGCAGTGGAAGGGTACTAGACGTCTGACTGCTGTAAGAGACTGGAAGGGTACTAGGCTTCTGTGCCCTGTAAGAGATCCTCCACTTCAGAGTCACAGATGGCCACAAGCCATTCAGTAGGGCTGGGGACCTTAGAAGTCCTTTACTTGGATGTCTGTCGTGATGAGAACCTACCAAACAGAGGCCCTACTTACATCACTGATTCCAGAGAGTATCTAAAGCCTGACAGGTGGTGCCAGTTCCTATCCATTTCTCCCTCCCTCTTTGCCCTCAAATCTAAAATATAAGGCCAGGCGCAGTGGCTCATGCCTGTAATTTCAGCATTTTGGGAGGCCAAGGCAGGAGGATCATGAGGTCAGGAGCTTGAGACCAGCCTGACCAACATGGTGAAACCCCGTCTCTACTAAAAATACAAAAATTAGCTGGTTGTGGTGGCATGTGCCTGTAGTCCCAGCTACTCAGGAGGCTGAGGCAGGAGAATTTCTTGAACCCAGGCGTCAGAGGTTGCAGTGAGCCAAGATTGTGCCACTGCTCTCCAGCCTGGGCGACAGAGCCAGAGGCCGTCTAAGAAAAAAAAAATCTGAAATATAGTAACATAAGGATAAGCTCAATAATATAAACATTTTAAAGCCAGGAAATGATGAAAGCAGTCCATAATGATGAACTGCAGGATGGGCTGGCCACTGTTAGCACACTTGCCCCAAGTGACAAGCACAGTGGAAATGAAGACACTTTCACTGAAGCATGGAGTGGGATTAGAGGGTTGTAGCTAAAGAGAAAACAGTTACCTAGCATGAGTAACTCTAAGTACTTTAGTAATCCAAGTCTCCATCCTAGGATCTAAGAGCTCTGCGTATAGAGGCACAGATACCTGTGACTCACTGGGTTACAGAGACAAGAGATGGTCGCCCAGAATCTCCTCTCCCAACAGTTCAAATACTCAGTTTTCACATCTGAAATAAAACTCCAATGTCAAAAACGTATGAAGAACTCATATTTAGACAAAAGATTTTGTAATTGCTTGTTGACATCAGAGTTAAATAAAACCTTAAGTTAGATTTAGCCAAATGAAGAAACAGACTAGAAGACAAGGCTCTGTTTATGGGGCTCAACAGGGCAATAAATTGTGGCTTATACCTCACTTCTTAGATCTGCTTCTAGAAGGAGCCGACAGTTACCACCACATGGGCAGAGGTTTTGCAAAAACAAAGGGCTAAATCTTTTAGTAAACATTTCCTTAATTTTTAATCTGACATAAAAAATTGAAGAAGTAATCTAAAAAATATAAGGTTTGAGGAATAGTGGTTCTTCCTAGAGACTAAAGAACGACAATGCAAAGATAGTGAAAAACAGATTTCAATTTTCATTGAAAATACTCTAAGATACACAGTTTTGAGAATTATATTTCTCTAATTGTAACATTTTAAGTTTAGTTTCAGTGAAATCTGCTGTCCTAACACAAGTATGAGCAATTAATCCTAGGTCTCCACACCTTAAGACACACTGTGTAATCACTGACCCATTATTCCTTGCGGCGTTACTAGGTCAGACCAATCCTTGATATCTTCAAATTTCACCTTAATGAGGCTGACACCTTTCAGCTTATCGACTGGCAGCTCCTTTAGGTATTCTACACGGCTAAAGAAGAAAATCTTTGGCACAGCTCCAGCCTTGAGAGCGTCTGCGATGAGCCTGCGACCCTCCAGCAGGATCTTCCCTTGTTTTTCCCGAAATGGCCTGGACTTGACTATTGTCATCACACTGCTGTAAATGGAAATAAAAAGGCAGGTAATTATTAACATCCTTGTTACTGAGACAAGTTTAGTTGTAAGAGAAAGAGCTAAGGAGAGGGCTCCCGCCTGTAATCGCAGCACTTGGGGAGGCCGAGGCGGGCGAATCACCTGAGGTCAGGAGTTCGAGACCAGCCTGGGCAACACGGTGAAACAACAACAAAGAGCTAAGGAGAGACAGACGCTAATTCCAAAGACACTCATTCGGCTCTCTGTGCACAATAAAAATCCAGCGGGCTGTACTGGAAGAAGTCCTCCATCGGGAGACGGAGGTTAAGGTTCCGCTGTAAGAGGGGAAGGGAAACGAGAACATTCGACAGGGCTCAATAACACATCACCTCAGCCTCCTGTCCCCGGGAAAAGCCTTATCGTAGCGAAGCCCAGACTCTTCCCAGGTGCTGGGAGTGTGGGATGGGGACACCTCAAGCGGCTGTTTCTCTTGTGGCTTGTGGGCACTGGCTTCGGATGCTGCCTTGCGCGGCTGCTTCCCAGGAGCGCGCTTCCGTTCCACCACCTCTCCGGAAGGAAACGCCACTTTCACTGGGCTCCGCCGCAGCGCTCGGACCCAGCGCCTCGCGCCAAGGTCCCAAGCCTGGACCACCTGCAGCAACGGTAGCAATGCAAACCGCGCGGGTTTCCCCAGCGCGGCCATCTTCCCCGAGACCTGGGCTGCGTCACGAAAGCGCGCCGTCGGCGACCAGTGACGTCACGGTCCAGCGCGCCCCTGTGGGCGGGGCGCTGCCGTGCGGGTGACCATTGCGCGCGGCCGGGGTCATGGCTACTCGCAGAGCTCTGCATTTCGTTTTCAAAGTGGGAAATCGCTTCCAGACGGCGCGTTTCTACCGGGACGTCCTGGGGATGAAGGTGCAGGCCGGGGCCAACAGGGACTGGCGCGCGAGGCTGGAGCGGGTGCCGGAGCCGGCCCTGGGGGAGGGAAGGGAGAAATGGGTGTGTCGTGAACCTCAGCCTCAGCTGAGGTCGGCGTCCGACCTTAGGCCGGGGCTCCCTGTGGGCCCTGCGCACTGTTCGGCTTCGGGAAGCGTGGCGAGTCGCCGGTGCGATGACAGGCCTTGGCGAGGGGCCCCGCACCCTTAGTCCCAGCGGTGTGCCCATCTTTAAGTTCACTCGTAAATGTTTATTGAGCCCCGCCCTTGTGGAGCTCACTGTCCCCCCGGGAAAGACGGTAAAGAAGCCAAATGTCCTGTAGTGCTTTCCAGTTAATAATTGTCTTTTCCGGTTTGGAGCCTTTGATGTAGATAATCAGCATATTCAGAGTTCTGCTTCTCTCAGGACTGGTCCGAACGGTCCCTCTTGGATACTCAGTCTCTCTGAATAAATGCTCCAGTTCTCAACAATCCAGAGCTAAGTCAGAACCCAACCCATTTTCTTTTTTTTTTGTTTTTTTTGAGACGGAGTTTCACTCTTGTTACCCAGGCTGGAGTGCAATGGCGCGATCTCGGCTCACCGCAACCTCC